CTGTAAACCAGAGGTGCTCAAAGTGGGGTCCACGGACCAAAATTGGCAAAACGTGGGCCACCACACTAGCTCCTAGCTTAATCATAAAAAATAAAGGCTTTACTTAAGAAGTGTTTGATTTCATGTATTCTATTATTAAATGTGGCACACAGACAGCTCTTTGATAGATTTTCATTTTGGCCCTCTAGGGGAAAAAGTTTGGGCACCTCGATCTAAACATTTCAAGGACATTTAGCCATTTATGACTGCAGTTTTTAATATTTTAAAATAATTAAAGCAAAAATATGTTGTAAGCATTTATCTTCGAATTTCATTAAATTTCTGGAAAATAATCTATAAACCTGATCCTGCAGATACCAAAAATGTACGCTGGGAAGCACTGCTTTAGTGAAGTTCTGTAATTTCTGTGTTTTACCCAGAACAGACACCAGGGGGCACTGATGTGTTAAATATGTGACTTTGATTGTTGTCTGAGGTTTAACATTTGAAGTTTCATGACTTTTGATGACTGTTTCAATCTATAAATTGCTTTTTGAAACTTGTATAATTCTAATCCGGTTTCTTTGTTATTGTTGCTGTTGCTTATTTTAAAACCATTCAACTTACTGAGGTTCCTGAGAACTTAAAAAAATACAACACACTAAATTAGTGAGAGAACCACAACTAATTTGAATTATTTTTTTATTGTTTCAGAAAATTAACCCATACACATTTTTTTAGCTGAATGTAGTTTTTGTCTGTCTTGTTCCATCATTTGTTTAAATGAACACTGAAACAAAAGACAAACCAGTATGAACCTTCAACATGTTTAAGTCTGTTTGAAATTAGGAGCCACAGCAGCAACACATGATAATCTACAGACTCCCTAATAGGAGGTAAATTTGACTTAGAAAAAAGGAGTTCCCCTCTTTGATTAGCCTCACTTAGCATCTGTCTCTCACTCCCAAACACTGTTTAATTGCTCTTAGACATCCATCTGTTTATTCTCTAGTGGATCTGTTTACTATTTATTTATTTTATGATCACATTTTAGTCACGAGAGAGAGAAGGGGGTAGACCCAGGCATTCAGCGAGGACATTCCACCTGTCAGATCTAATTTCCTGAGGGTTCTAAAGGACCGATGTAGAAACAATGCAGCTGCAAAAAGGTTCAATATTTGCTATCAGCTATGTGTTTTTATTGTGTTTTTTTTCTTAAATCGTAGACCTCTTTATTGTGACTTAAAGTTGCAAACTGACTATGATTCAACTTCTCTTGAATCTTTTATCTCTTAGTTATTTCCTCTAAACGTCTGCCAGATTACCTTCTTGGGAAGCGTTGGTATTGTAACAAATATTCTGATTACAAATGTGTGTGGTTAAAGATAATCTGTGTGGCTTTCTCTGTCACTGTACTCAACCCTTGCCTTTAGAGACAAAAGAATATTTGTGTGTGTTCATTTGTTGTTATCAAAATATCTCTTGGACCACTACCTGGATTTTAATAAAATCTGTCAGTCCAATTCAAGATGGAAACCACAGCCATTTGACGTAAAAAAAACACTAAAATGGCTCAATCAGTTTTATAGATATTTATCTAAAATTTGGCGTGAAGTAGCTGGGAGTCMTTCACAGTAGTTCCCCTGAGCGTGAGATCTTACAATATTAAATAAAAATTGTGTGTAACCAACTCTACGGTCGTTCAGATTGATTTTAGTCTAAAACTCTGGTCTGAATGGTGGCGAGTGTTATGAGGTTTTAAAATTTAAAACAAGTTAGAGATCTACGTACAACAGATCATCGTTTTAGCATCTTAAATATAAACTCTTGGCTTTTCTTGATGTCRGATTAAACATATTCAGTGACATGTAACAGTTCATGTAACAGTTATTGCTGCAAACTTGTTCATGTCTGTCATCATTTTTGGGGTTCTCTCAGGTAAACGAACCCTCTTTCTCGCTCCCTCTGTGAAGGCTCTCAACATCTGGAACCAATACAGATGTGCCTGCTATCTGAGGGACTGAGGGGCTTGGAGGTTGTAGGCTGAGTTTAAGGGAGGGTGAGGGGCTAGGACTGGTTGCTGCTTTGGCCCTGGGGGTCTGTGTGTCCCTGACTTCAAAATAGACTTGATTGCTAACAGCTGTCAGTCCTAACTCACCCAATGTCAGAGCTCTCCTCTGATGTCAGCCTTGTCAGTCTCAAGGACCGCTCAATGGAAAGCCCAATGTGGAAGGAAGGGCCGAGTCTGCTGTGGAAGGACTTTTCTCTTAACATAAATATTTTTTGTCTCTGAAGCCAAAACACAATAAATTTTAATATTTTAATACAGCTCATACAAAAGCAGCTGAATAAATTGGTTGTTTTTTAATTTTTTTGCTAAAAAGTGTCCTTTTATTGTCACTTTATCGGAGCCGCAGAGGTAAAAGTGTGTTTGAGGTGTGTGCTGCTATTCTGCGCCGCAGTTTGAGTAAATGGGACAGCAACTCATTAGCATCTTTTATTATCCAATTACAAATTCGGCTCGCCTAATTACCTCCAATCAGCAGGGAGAGGAAAATGATTGACTTCCTGGAGGACAAGACTCACGTCAGGACAAATAGGACAAAGTGGTTTTCCCTTCGTTTAATGAATGGAGAGTAATTCTCACCGCTTAAAACCATTTTTATCCTATAAATTCACGATGCTTTGTGAAAAAACTTTCCAAATTAAATGTATATGTTTCTGCACTAATCTTATTTGGGTTTTGGTCGTTTCATTCACCATCTGATGATGTAGTGAAGGARTTTGTTCTGTTTTGCTGATTTGGTTAATAGAAGCATCAAAATGTGGAAAAACTTCTGAAACAGCTGCAGAAATGATTATCCTTCACCAGAGGATGAAGGGCAGCTGCCRCAAAAGGGTTGTGCTTCTAACAGAGCTATGCATCACTATTAGACAATTAAACCCTCCTGTCATTAACGTCAGCAGCACCGTTACTCTACCGGGACTCAGTCACTCATCTGTTCATAAACTCAGGAGCTACTCGGCTMAACTTTAACTTCTTTTTCCTCAGATTTACTTTGCAACTCTTTGAGTCTTTGAAAGATGTCAGGAAAGACCAGAAATAGCAGCGGGGCGTGGGGGGGTGCCTCTGGGACGAGCAGTTGTTTACAGACAGTGACAGGGATGAAGGACCTCTGTGCTCTGGTGCTGGGCCTGCAGCCTCAGGGGTGAGCTGGTGCTGCTGGTCTGGAAGCTACGACACACTCACAAACRCACACGCAAACATGCAGGCTGGCAAAATTATTTGCACACAGATGCACAAAGCTGTATTATCTGTTGTTACTTTTATCTTCCTCTTTCCCAAATCTTTAGCTTTTGTTGTCATCTTTCAGACGATGTTGATGCAATCTGAAGAGCAAAAATAGCATTTGTAMGTGTAACATCAGCACATTTTAACCTTCACATTATTTATACGTGTCTCCTTTTAATGTCTGATTTCATCTGCATACTCTAAAGGCAGTTCAAGTTAATGTGGGTGTAAAATAAAATGTGGTTTTTTTTCTGCTGCTTCCTTCTGCAGGGGCCGACACAGTGAGCCAACYCMMATGAAAGATTTGTTTTATGACAGATACCCTTCCTGATGCACCCTGCAGCCTCAGGATTACAAGACCACGGCACTGACTGAGTTAATCTGGTGARTTTAAACACCAGATTATAAGGAATGAAATCAGGTAAGGTCACAAATAAGAAAGAATCCATATCATTATTTATATATAATAATATAT